GAGAAGATCTTTGGTTTAGAGAAAAAACCATACCTCCAAGTTCTCTTAGATTCTCCTGGATTTCTTGCTGTTGGGTTAGCACTTGTTGAAGTATCCCCTCTATTCTGGTAATTCGTTCCATCTGTGAAGAGGACGAGGTCTGTTCGTCTCTGGTCTCGTTCTGGGTCTGTTTTGGCTGGAGCATTTCTGTAATGACTAGCGGAACCCAGATTGGTACAAGACCAGAACGAAGCAGACTCAGATCTTAGAAAAAAGGAAACAGTGTTTATTATATACAGTGTAGGGGGTTTGTATACATATATGGCAGTCCTCTGGCAATCAGATGTAGGCGTCGGGAACCAGGGTAGGGCGGAATGTACAAGCAGGTCTGGCTGGAGAAAACAGGAGGACAGGACTGGCAACAGAATCCGCTCGACGAGTCTGGCAGGTTGTATACTTGAAGGTATTTCAGCATTATTTGTGCATAGTATTATCTGTGGAAGCTTGCCTTCATAGGTGTGCTAATTCAGAATAATGTTCTTGAAGGCCCCAGTACTTTTGATCTATTTCCTAGCTTTATTAGTTGTAATCTTTGGTATTCTGGCCTTCAAAATAATCCTATAATTCCCTTGCTGTAGAGTGTGCATGAAAAGCTTGTCAGTTTGCAATGTTGGGCTTGAGCCACACCGTCATTCACTAAACTTGCATATGTTAGCAGTTTATGTTATCTTGAGACTTAAGAAGCAGTTTTCCCTGACAGTAAAGCTTTTACTCAGACTACCCTGCATCTGCCTTTATGAAGGCCTTTAACTAAAAATAATATATATATATATATATATATATATATATATATTTATATATATATATATATGTTAAACCATGCACCTAAAAGGACAAAGTTTCCTATAACAGCAAAAAATATGAGGCAATATTTTTTAGAGCAGCTTTAGCTTTTCACAAACATGAACGAGCCTACATTAGAACAAAGAGACATGTTCAGGAGATTATCGTGTCTAAATTAAGAAGTGATCGCTCCATAAACCACGACTTGACATCTGCTGAGGTTCTGCTGCACTTTTCTTCTGCCTGCTGTTCTGCAGAGACTGCTAATTTATAATCGGGCAGCTGGATTATCATTTTAGCCTATTACCCATATGTTCAACCTTAATGTGAATTTAATTGAATTATTATCAAGCAAAATACTTAATGTTGTTGGTTTTTTGTGTGTGTGTTCTGTTTAGTATATTTACTCATTTACCTTTTCAAAACATATAAATTAATTGACATAACCCTTCTTTTGATTTATGTCCACTTGTGCTCAAAATAAATCCTTCAGTAACTCTGTATGCACAGCTGACAGCAAAAACTTAAACTGTACACTCAAAGAAAATCATGGATAATGTAGAACAAATCTGTGAAAGCACGATTCAATCCCCTCCTCCAGCGTCCCTCTTCAATCTGTACACTGCATGTCTACAAGTAGATACAAGTTAACATGAACATTCCTCTCCTTCTCGTAGCCTAAATTAATTTAGAAAAATACTATTCTTGTTTAGCCTGCACTAGCTTAAATTAAAAAATATATATATCTTGTTGAAAATAAAAGGCTTTCATGCACATTAATACCACAGTTTTACACAGGATTTGTTGTTGTATCAATAAGTCGAGGAAGATTGGTGTTTTATTTATTGCGTACAATAAATTACAGATAGCCTAAAAACGAAAAATTAATTTTGGGTTGGAGCAAAAACTTGCTAATTCAACTTTTCTTTGAGTATAGCAATGCGTAAAATGTTATAAATATTACCATGTAAAATTTATAACAGGATGTTAGGTTGATGTTTAGGAGGTGCACTTAACTTAAATTGTGTCATCATGGGTAAAATGTTCTGTAATGATTTACAAATGATCTACATCAACCATTACACTAATATGTTGTATATATTAATTAAGTTTTTCTTTGTTCCTCAGTTTTTCAACATAAGACCCTCAATGAATAGTTTAGGATGAATTATTTGTCATCTTAACGGTCCCATTACTCTGCAGACTATTAATAGTTTTACATCGGTTCCATTGTGATGGAGATAAATTACTTTATTATGTGAACCGGCATTAAACTAAGGAATTAAGTTAACTTTAGAAGAGTATGCTCTTGCTTCAGGAATATATTTCTTCTGGGAGGTTAATGTACTTCACCTGTGTCCTGTTTTTTTTTTTATGTTAAGAACAATGAGTTATGTCCTTGATAGGTTTTACAAACTGTAAATTGATGTTTAAATATATATATGTATATATATATTATTATTTTCTGCAACCTTTGTGTAACTGAGGCCTGCCTTACAAAGTGACTTACCGACAGTGAGGTTTTCTTTGAGGTAGTGAGGAATTTTATCAGTGTGGGACCCTCAGGGTCTTCAATGCCTTCAGAGAAGGCCTACAAATTCAGCACATATGAAACCACATGAAATGTTGCTTTTTTTTAAATTATATATTTATTTCATATGAAATAATATATTTTCAGTCTAGTTTTTCTTATTATTTGCTCATTTCTCTTATTTTCTGTGAACTAATTTACAGTTTACCTTTTTTTTTTTACCCACTGTCTGTAGAGAAGGATGTAGAATAACTGATGGGAAATTTAACCAATAAGAATGCAGATCTAAAGTGGGTGGGGCCAAAATATGGGGCCTGAGGCTGCGGCTAGGCCTTGTAAAATGTTTTAGTTTAGTTTAGTTTAGTTTAGTTTAGTTTAGTTTAGTTTAGTTTAGTTTAGTTTAGTTTAGTTTTTTTTGACCATGTGAAAATTTGTGATTCAAGTTTAAAGTTTCATGGCATGATGCAATTTTACTGAAACAGTACGTTTTTTTGTGTTACTTTCAAACTTCAGTATGGATTATTAAAATTACATGTTGCACATGAGCACAAGAGCCACAGGGCATTCTGGGTAATCTTTGGACATAAAGGGGTGGATTTTGCAGATTATGATGGGTTGTTCCTGTTAATTTGGCTGTTTAGTGTTGGGTTAGTATTTATGTCCAGGGCATTGTTAGCGACAGTAAAATAAATGGTGCAGATGTTTTATTTGTTGGATAAAAAGGGGAAAGGCCTTTACTTTTAGTAAGTTACTGAATTTAAAACTGAAAGCAAGCTTGTCTGAATGCATCCATGACTCTGTGTATTGATATTAATATTTAATGGTATGTTGCAATAGCACATCGTAACTGAAAGCCCAGCTCTTATAGTCACTGTTTGCCACTACATTTTATTCATCTAATGTAACACTGGTGCTACATGGAAACTTGGAAGATATAAATTTTCAACATCTGATATTAGCACGATGCTCCAAATGAGAGACGGCAGCAGTTAAGTAGAGTACAATTAAAACACTTGATCCCTGGGAGTAAACTGAACTTTGCATTTGATGAAAGTTATTTTGCATGAGTCAAAATGGCTATTGTTGAACTAGAATATAAAGTGATGAGTTCAACAATTGTGGGTTTCATGTTAGTGTGCTAAGTATCTTGGCGTAGGTGTGGGAATTTCATATTAGTAATGATAATACTTTTGTTATTATGAATAAATACATCATTAATGAATAAAAGACAAAGCACGAGTCATTCTCATTATTGTTGTTTCTGTTTGTGTAAGTAAGGATGGAGCACATTATGCATTAAAAAATTAAGTAACTTGAATAAATTTCTGCCAGCTGATTTATGGCATCATTTCTTCTCTGATGAGAAACTGCTCAACATTAGAGGGCTCAGATAGAATGAGTCATTTTATTGCTGTGGTTTTATCAGGGTCTTTTGTATTCTCTGTTCTGTCTGTGATGGAAAGCGTTGGCCAGTATGGATGTCAACAACCACTGAACGCTCTTCAATGCAATTAGCATGAAGCAGTAAAGTTTTATTAAAGGCTTTTACACCTACTTGTTTGCTGTTTTGTGAGAACACTAGATGTAGCGCAAATAATTTATGACAAAAGTTTTATTGGTACAGATGATGAAATATACCAAAAGCCCAGAAGAAAATATTCTGTATCCCCTAATATTTTGTGCTACACACTGCTTTGTGACACTAACTAAATGTTCCCTGGCGTGTTTTCAACTGCAACCCTGTAATAAACTTTATCAGTAATAAAAGGCCCCATCTACACTAATTTGGATATTTTTTTACACCTCACAATCCTACCAAAACCAAGTTTCTGCTACAAAACAAATATATTTTTAACACCCTTTCCAAAAGAGAGATGAAAAAGAGAGTAAACTTTATATGTTTGGCATCTATAAATAGACTGAACAAAACCAGATTTGAAACATGATCATACAAATTGTTTTACGCTCTCTATTAAAGTGTGTGCTCTGGAAACCAAAGCAAACAACTATTTTTACTGTTTTGTTTTTTCTACGTATGTGCTTTTCCGGATCCTGTCACCATTACCTTTAATTGTGTGCTGAAATGGTTAATAATTGACAGGAAATAGAAAATTATCTTCAGAAATCTTTAACAAAGTTAAAAATGGTCTTTCTCCACATTTTGGTATGTTGTTAATGTGGACATTTGACATAGATGTGTTATCATTTTTGTTCAAATGTTTGAAAGGAAGTTATTTTATTAGCCAAGACAAAAAAAATTCCACTTTAAAAATGTCCAGAATAGTGCACCTAGTCACAGAGTTATTGGTGAGACTATGAGATCAAAAGACTAAATAAATGTACGATTAGTTTACAATTTCAGCTTACATTCTGCTTTGTCAGGCAGGCCTCATGTTTTTATAAAGGATTTGTGTACATTTTGTATGTCTAGTCTTTTGTAGCATGTATATCTTGTATTTCAGTTAGATTTATCTGTATATTGTGTGTGTGTGTGTGTGTGTGTGTGTGTGTTATATGGGTGTGTCATTTTATTGCACATGTATTAAGTTGAGTCTGAACCACTTGTGATTATTGTTTGTGTAGATGTCCGTCTACATGTAAATGTGTGGTGGTAATATCTTGGCTCTGGCCCCTCTCCTCCCTGCAGGACAAGACAAGCGCTCTAAGTCTCAGCAACGTGGCAGGAGTTTTCTACATTCTGATCGGAGGCCTGGGCCTGGCCATGCTGGTGGCGCTGGTGGAGTTCTGCTACAAGTCCAGGACCGAGTCGCGCCGAATGAAGGTGTCCACCGCGCGAGCTGCTGCAGCCACAGCCGCTCAGGCCTTTCACTGCTCAGCCTTAGACAGTGGTGCTAGCGCCCCCTACACAGAGCTGCAGAGCTACGGCTTGTACGCCAACAACACTGTTAAGATATAAGGGCAGAGCACAGCCACGGGGTAGGAAACGCTGTGATCAAATCATGATGATAATGATGATGCGTCTGCCTCCACCTCGTCCCGCCCATCTAACCGTGACCACAGTAGGGCCGCTCACGGCTTCCACTGCACAACGCTCTTCTGTTCCTCTCTCTGCCTCTGATGCTCCCTTCGTTCAGTCTTTGTTACTGATCTCCTGCAGTGTTTTGGTATCGCTTGATTTTAAAATTGCTTTTATGCCTGTTTTCTTTTTTTGTGTGCAAAAACTGGGTTTTAGTGCATTCACTAGATTACAGCAAGGAAGCATATGGGTCATTCCATGTCTGATCATAATGTTCTGTTTTTTTTTATTTTATTTTATTAATACCTCCTTGTTTTGTTGGGGTGAAGATGAATCCCCACAACCCAAAGGTTGGAACCACTGATTTATCCATCTATCCATCTATTATCTTTACCTGCTTCTTCCTTTTTGGGTTGTGGGAATCACTGATGTCCATATCCAGCCATCACTGTGCGAGAGATGGGGGACACCCTGGACAGGTCTCCAGTCCATCACAGGGACACATAGAGACAAACGAGACAACCATTCACTCTCTCACTCACACCTAGAGACAATTTAGAGTTACCAATCAGCCTAGACCAGAGTAACTGGAGTAAACCCATGCATGCACAGAGAGAACATGCAAACTCCACCCAGACAGGCTCCTGGACGGGATTTGAACCAGGGCGACGTTCTTGCTGAAAGGCAGCAGATCTACCAGTTGTGCCACCTTTCTGCCCACCACTGATTTATATTTTAATTAACTGTGATTGATATCGAAATATTTAATACTTGTAAAAAAAATCACATTTTTTTAACAAAAGTTACTCAAACAGTGTCATATAGACATATATTTATTACAATGTTGTCATTAGTTGCAGTGCCTCCTCCTTGAAATTATTATATAAGTCATTTTATACCAATACATTTCTTAAAAACTAAATAAAAAAAGAAAATTGTTTTATGCCTGTGATTTTTACAGTATGTTCCTTAGGCTGTATATTTAATAGGATTTTTTTTAGTTTACTTACCCCTTTGGTATGAATGGGAATGATAATGTCAGATGTTCAAAACTTGACTTTGACAGCCAATTTCTGCTGAATTAATCCACATCAAACTTTGAAGCTTTACAGATCCCCCACAAGTTTGATAAAAATTAAGAAATATGTAAAATAAGCAAAAGATGAGTAAAATTAGCCAACGCTATTGGTTACTTTCACCTGTGTTTTTGGCTTATGGCTCAATTTGTGTGTCTGTTTTTTTGTATTCCTCTCAGTGTAACAAGACAAAAAGATCAGAGTCCATTAGTTTAAATATATGATTGTACCTAAGACAAAATGACTTTAACAACATTTCTAGTATCCATACACCCATATTTTACCCACTTAATCCTGTTTAGGGTAGCCTGCAGCTGATAGTCATGGTAACATGTCACCAGGTTATCACCAGGTTATACTCACACTCACATCTAGGGCCCGGTTAGAATCTTCAGTTAAACCTAAGAGGACGCATGAGTTCTCTGAGAAAACCATAAACTCCATGCAGAATTTACCCAGATGGGAGTCAATCATATTTAACTTACAATTAATTTTGGGGGTTGCAAGGTGGAGCAGCTGGTTAGCACTGTTGCTTTACAGTAAAATAAAATAAAAAAACTGGAAACAAATCTTGGCTGGGGCTTTTTTGCGTGTAGTTGGCGTGTTTTCCCTGTTTGCATGTGTGGGTTTTCTTCAGGTACAGTATTCTCTTTCCTCCCACAGTTCAAAAGCATGCACATACTTAAGGTAATTGTTTGTTCATTCATTCAACCTTTATTCATACAGGCTAGTCTCACTGAGCCACGAGGACTCTTTTTTTACCAGAGAAACCTGTTTTAGACAGAATATATAATGTACAGTACATATAAAGTACACTTGTTCTAGTGGTCCTAAACATGAGTGTGTGTGTGAATACTTATTTGTCTTTATGTGGCCTTGAAATGGACTGGGAACCTGTCCATGCACACTGGCTCTCACCTACTGGAAATAGTCACCTGCTTCTTATGACCATGCACATGTTCAAGCTCAAGCATAGAAGCATAGAAGATGGATGGATGGATGGATGGATGGATGGATGGATGGATGGATGGATGGATGGATGGATGGATGGATGGATGGATGGATGGATGGATGGATGGATGG